CTGCCAGCACCACTGCCCACTCTCAGAAACGCTCCACATTCAGGGAGCGTTTGGTGGGCTCCAACCCATATTTGACACCTGTGTCTTCTCTGAAGAATGCCATTGCTGTGGGCGGTTTTCTCTTCCGGTTTGAAACTGACGCCTCTGTGGGCTTTAGCAGCAGCCTCCAATTCTTTGGCTCCCCAGCGACACAGGCACTGAGAACATGCGAAGGGCAGCGCCATCTTGTGTCCCATCTTTTCTTTTTTTAAAACTTAAAAAATAATTTTTATTGATTTCAGAGAGAAAGGGAGAAATAGAAACATCAGTGATGAGAGGAAATAATTGATCAGCCGCCTCCTGAATGCCCCCAACTGGGGATTGGGCCCGCAACCTGGGCATGTGCCCTGACCGAAAATTGAACCATGACTCTTGGTTCATAAGTCAGTGCTCAATCCCCGAGCCACACCCGCCGAGCAAACTGTTCTCTTTATGGCACGTGATTATAAGGATATATGGTGCAGAAGACTCTGAGAACCCTTAATTAAAATTATTCAATCAAGACGTGTTTCTTTTTAAAAAATTTTAAATGTATGGGTTTTAGAGAGAGAAACATGGATTTGTTGTTCTACTTACTGATGCATTCATTGGTCGATTTCTTGAATGTACTCTGATGTGGGATTGATCCCACAACCTTGGCTTTATTGGGATGATACTTTAACCAACTGAGCTACCTAGCCAGGACCTAAAATGTGTTTCTTAATTCTGAAGCTAAGTTTAAATATTTAAGGATGGAATAGAATGTTCATTTCATTGGTACATTTCTCACTATAAAAGGCAGCTTATTTCAAAGTAGGCATGGGAAAGACAATCTTTTTAAGAGAAGTGAACATTTAAAACTATTCAAATGGCTCAAAAAGAGTAGATATATTTTTTAAGCAGATATTTTCTAAATCAATATAAACTAAAATACAAAACTTAGCAAGCCTCAGGGAGCAAAGTAGGATTTTTTTTCTTTTTAAATGTTTTTATTGATTTGATAGAGTGATAGAAACATGGACTGGCTGTGTCCTGCATGACCCCCCACTGGGGATCAAGCTTGCAACCCAGGCATGTGCCCTGACAGGGAATCGAGCTAATGACCTCTTGGTGCATTGGTTGAGTTTCCACCACTGAGTCACACCAGCTGGGCACAAAGTAGTATTTTTAAAAACACTTTTTCCATTAGGTGGTGCCCAAACCAAACATTGCAAGCCAGTGTGCTAAATGAAACAATTCTGAGAGAACATAGTCATTGTCAGCCGATTGAGATCACATGTGCTTGTTATTAATACATTCATAGAGGATGGAAGTTTGGCTTGTCCTTGCGCCTCATGATTTATTGGACGCATACTGGTCTTATATATAGCTTCCTATGTGTGGTACACACAACAGAGCCAAGAGATGACTTAATTTAGATGCACATTCTGGCGAAATAGCAAGTTATTTTCATGATACAGTAGTTGCTCTTACCCATGGTTTCACTCGCTCTGGTTTCAGTTACCCACTCACAACTGTGGTCTAGAAATATTACATGGAAAATTCCAGAGGTAGTAAGTTTTAAATTGCGTGGCATTCGGAGTTATGGTGAAATCTCGCGATGTCACCCCTCAGTCCCGTGTCTTCGTGCTGTAGCCGCGCCGCTCATTAGAGGCTTAGTCGCCATTTTGGTTGTCAGGTATCGCTGTGCTTGTGTTCACGTAACCCTGATTTTTAGTTTATCGTTGCCCCAAAGCTCAAATATAGTGATGTTGGCAACTTAGGTACGCCAGAGAGCAGCCGTAAAGTACTTCCTTTAAGTGAAAAGGTAAAGTTCTCGACTTAAGGAAAGAAAAAAATCCCGTAACCCGAGTTTGCTCATCTACGGTAAGAACGACTCTTATATTCGTGAAACTGAAGAAAGAAAACGAAATTGTGCTAGTTCTGCTGTCGTCCCTCAAACGGCAAACAATAGGACCGCAGTGCTTAATAAGTGCGTAGTTACGGAAAAGGCATTAAATGTGGGGGTCGGAAACATGACATCATCATGGCTCGAGGATCCTGATTTATCGTCAGAAGGTCAGTAGTCGCCTAGCGCTTCGTCACAACCTACGTCATTCACCTCGTCTCACGTCACTCATCTCGTGCGGTCGGCCTGGAGTCATCGTCCGAGGAGGGTGAGTACAGTATAATTAGGTATTTTGAGAGGAGAGAGAGCAAGCGCGTTCCCTTAAGTTTTAATATAGTATATATTGTTACAATTGTCCTAACTTATTACCGGTTGTTAATCCCTAACTGTGCCTCATTTATAAGTTAAGCTTTATCATCATGTATGTTTAGGGAAAAAACACAGTGTATTGATAGAGGGTTCCGTCCTGTTCGTGGTTTCAGGCCTCCACGGGGTGGGGTCTCGGAACGTGCCCCTCGCAGACAGGGAGGGATGAGTGAAGAATTGTTCCACACCTTCAAATAGCTTGTACCTCATCAAGTATGTGCGACCTAAAACCTGCAAAACATTGTTTAATCTTTGATGTAGAGGGCAGTTTGATATCTAGTAGCCTGTCCTGTCCTTTTTGAAAATCAGTTATTGGGTAATAATACCTATAGGAGACGTAGGTATTAGTACCTACATCTTTTCCTTTTTTTAAAAAAACAACTGGAAGGTTTTACTTATAATTACTAAGAGGACAGTATTAAGAGGAAAACTTTTCTTGATGAAGTCTGTATTTTACAAATACTACCTTGGCTTTTTAAAAGTTTTATAAAGCAAGGAAAATGAATGAGGAAATACTTCTTATGGTCCAGGCGGTCGCCAGCCTTTCGGACCTCAGGGGCCTCTGGACTGGAATACCTGTCACTGTCCCCCGCCCCAACTCCCCTCCCAAAGTGCATATGTTTGAAATATAGTGGAATATTAACATTATTTTAATCTTCTAACTTTGGAAATTAGCTGTTCCCAGGTAGAAGTGTGCTAATTTTGCCATGCCATGTAAGAAATAAAAAATCATTCCAAAGCAATGAGTTTTTTAAAACATTTTTTAAATTGTTAAGATAAACTAAGCTAAATGTTATTTCTTTTTCTGATGGACTTGGCAGAATAAATTGTGTATGCAGGAAGCAGGCAGTCATCATTAGATTTGTTAGTACCTATTATATATCTCAAGGCACAGTTCTTCATAGATAAACAAAATGAGATTTTTCTACCCTCACAGAGCTTATACTACACTCAAGGAAGGGAAACAAGAAAAAAAAAACCTAATAAGGTAATTTTCAAAGAATGAGAAGTGCTATGAAAATATGATAGGAAGTGATTGGGGTGACAGGAGTAGTAGGGTGGTGATTCACAATGGCATGAGATAAGTAGGAGGACCTGAATGATAAGAGACATCATTCAGAATATTATGGAGAAGATTGTTGGGAGTAGAGCTAGGAGCAAGTGCAAGACCGG